CCGGTGATGGGTATTAAGGAGGGCACGTACTGCATGGAGCACTGGGTGTTATACGAAAACAATGGATCATGGATCACCACATCAAAAACCAATGACGTACTGTATGGTGACTAACATAACATAATAAAGTTAAAAAAAAAAAAGACATTTATCACCTGCAAAGTCTGAGGTGGTCCCTAAATGGGGTTCTGGGGACATAAGCATAAGTCCTGCACTCAAATGGTCAGAGAATTAAGCCCCATGGACTTCTCTGGCCACTGTATGGGGGCCCGGGTATTCTGAGGACCCTCCTGGTCAGATGTTAGATAAATATACTTGACAATGCTTTACTAGGTTCTCAGGAAATAAGAGAAGTCCTCAAAGGCCAAATAAAAACATGAATAAACAAATAAACAAAACAAAACTATCAGAATTGTGAGCTGAAACGAAGACAGAGATCTGAAAGCAACAAACTAACTAAAAACTTGGGTTGTCCAAGGGACGAAGACCTTTAGGAAAGTTGAGATCAGAACTAAACCCAGAACCAGTGCTCACCATCAAAGACCGGCCAAGATTTTTAAAAAAGAAAACCCCAGGAGTGGGAATCATCAAAAATAGCAAATTTAGAACCTCAAGGACCTTAGATGTTAGAATTATCAGATTATAAGAAAAACTGATACTGTAGAATATTTCTATGTGCCAGATGCTATTCTAAGTGCTTTGCTGTGTACTGGGTCATTTACGACTCGCACAAACCTACGAGATCAGTGCCATTCATATCCCATCCCCATTTTATGGGTAAGAAAACTACGGCTCAATGAGGCTAAGTATCTTGCCTGAGGTTACATATGGGTAAGGTGAATATAAGCATTGTGACTCCAGTGTTCATGCTATGAACTATCACACTATAGGACCGCCAATAATTTATGAATCTCTAAATAAATTTAAAATGGGTGTTTTTTCCACATTTTAAGATATTTTAAAAATACTTTTAATTTAAAGCCCACATAAAATTTACTATCAACCATTTATAAGTATACGGTTCAATGGTATTAAGTACATTCACACTATTGTGCAACCATCACTACCATCCATCTCCAAGGCTGTTTTTGCCTTCCAGAATTCTGTACCCATTAAACATTAACTCCTCATTTCTTCCTCTCTTGAAATACTGGAAGCCACCTGTCTACCTTCTGTCTCCATGAAGCCTCTGACTACTCTACGTCCCTCATGTACGTGGAATTATATAGTATTTGCCTTTTTTGTGCCTGGCTTATTTTACCTAGCATAGTGTCTTCAAGGTTATCCATGGTTGTAGCCTGGGTCAGACTTTCCTTCCTTTTTAAGGTTGAATAATATTCCATTATTTATACCACATTTTGTTTATCCATTCGTCCATCAATGGACATCTGGGTCCCTCCTACCTTTTGGCTATGGTGAATAATGCTGCTGTGAGCATGGGTGTGCAAATAGCTCTTAAAGACCCTGCTTTCGATTCTTTGGGGTGTATACCTAGGAGTAGAATTGCTGGATCATATGGTATCTGTTTTTAATTTTTTATTGTTTTCCATAAGGAATGCACCATTTTACATTCCCACCAACAGTGCACAAGGGTTCCAATTTCTCCGTATTCTCACCAATGCTTATTTTCTGTTTAAAAAAATAAGTATTTTAGGGATACCTGGGTGGCTCAGTCATTAGGCATCTCCCTTCGGCTCAGGTCATGATCCCAGG